GGCCCGTAATATCTTCAATAAAGAAATTTTTTTGTTTGTTTTTTGAGACAGACTCTCTCACTCTGTCACCTAGGCTGGAGTGTAGTGGCTCAATCCTGGCTCACTGCAACCTCTTCTTCCTGGGTTTAAGTGATTCTCCTGACCTCAAGTGATTCACCTGCCTTGACCTCCCAAAGTATTGGTATTACAGACGAGAGCCACCGTGCCTGGTCTATTAAAGATTAATTGGTAATAATATTGTCTTGATCCATTTTGTGCTGCTATAACACAATAACTGAGACTGGGTAATTTACAAAGAGCAGAAGTCTAGTTCTCATATTTCTTAAGACTGAGAAGTGCAAGATCAAGGCCCTGACATTTAGTGTCTAGTGAAGGCTGCATGCTGTGGGGAGGAGGAACACTGTGTCTTCACATGCACAAGGCAGAAGGGCAAGAGAGGACTAACTTCACTGTCAATCCCCTTTCTAAGGGAACCTAGTCCTATTAATGAGGAAGGAACCCTTCTGTCCCAATCATTTTTCAAAGGTCCACCTCTTAATACTATCACGTTGGCAACACCTCAATTTTGGAGGATCCTCATTCAAACCATAGCAAATATGTAAAATGCTGTTTTGTCTTTGAAATTAGTCTTAGTTGTGTGATTTTCAGTAGAAATCAGGCAAACAAATTTAAAAGGTATTTTTACTAAAATTACATGGAGCTAGGTGCAGTGGTTCATGCCTGTAATCCAAAGCTACTTAGGAGGCTAAGCTGGGGGGATGGCTTGAGCCCAGGAGGTCAAGACTGCAGTGAGCCATTATCACGCCACTGCACTACAGCCTGCGTGACAGAGTGAGATACTGTCTCAAAAACAAAAAAAAAAAAATAAAATAAAATAAAGTACATGCTACAACATGGATGCACCTTGAAAATATGGTAACCGTATTAAGACACACAAAAGGACAATTATATGATTTCGCTTATATGAGGTATCTCAAATAGTCAAATGCCTAGACAGAAAGTAAAATAGTGGTTACCAGGGGCTGGAGGGAGGGGGTATTGTGAAGTTATTGTTTAGAGGGTAGAGTTTTAGTTTGGGTTGAATTAAAAAGTTCTGGAGATGGATGGTGGTTGAGGTCAAGAGATCGAGACCATCCTGGCAGACATGGTGAAACCCCGTCTCTACTAAAAATACAGAAATTAGCTGGGCATGGTGGTGCTTGCCTGTAGTTTCAGCTACTTGGGAGGCTGAGGCAGGAGAATCGCTTGAACCCGGGAGGCGGAAGTTGCAGTGAGCAGAGATCGTGCCACTGCACTCCAGCCTGGTGACAGAGCAAGACTCCGTCTCAACAACAACAAAAAAAGTTGGTAAATTTTGTGTGATGTACATTTTAGCAAAATAAGCAAAAATAATCCTATGTAATTGTATTAATGAATTAATTTAATTTAATTTTTTTTGGAGAGGGAGTCTCCCTCTGTCACTCAGGCTGGAGTGCACCGGCACAATATTGGCTCCCTGCAACCTCCGCCTGCTGTGTCACGATTCTCCTGCCTCAGCCTCCTGAGTATCTGGGATTATAAGCATGTGCCACCACGCCCGGCTAATTTTTGTATTTTTAGTAGAGACAAGGTTTCACCACGTTGGCCAGACTGGTCTCAAACTTCTGACCTCAAGTGATCTGCCCACGTTGGACTCCCAAAGTGCTGGGATTACAGGTATGAGCCACTGCGCCCAACCAAATTTTATTTATTTTGTAAGAGACAAGGCCTCACTCTGTTGCACCAGCTGGAGTGCAGTGGTGCCATCATAGCTCACTGCAGCCTTGACCTCCCAGGCTCAAGCAATTCTCCCACTGCAACCTCTTGAGTACCTGGGATTACAGGAGTGAACCGCTGCACCCACTTCAGGGTTTCAATTTTGAGGAAGTCCAGATTGTCTATTTTCCCTTTTGTTGTCCTTGTTTTTGGCGTCATATCCAAATCATTGCCAAATCCAAGTCATGAAGATTTTGCCCTATGTTTTCTTCAGAGTTTTATAGTTTTAGCTCTTACACTTAGGCATTTGACACCTTTTGAGTTGTGTATGTGGTGTATAATAAGGGCCCAACTTCATTCTTTTGAACATGTATCTCCAGTTTTGCCAGCACCATTTGCTGAAAAAACTGGTCTTTCCCTAATGAATGATCTTGACATCCTTGTTAAAAATTGTTGACCGGGCCAGGCACAGTGACTCAAGCCTGTAATCCCAGCACTTTGGGAGGCCGAGACGGGTGGATCACGAGGTCAGGAGATCGAGACCATCCTGGCTAACACGGTGAAACCCCGTCTCTACTAAGAAATACAAAAAAAAAAAATAGCCAGGCGAGGTGGCGGGCGCCTGTAGTCCCAGCTACTCGGGAGGCTGAGGCCGGAGAATGGCGTGAACCCGGGAGGCGGAGCTTGCAGTGAGCTGAGATCCGGCCACTGCACTCCAGCCTGGGCTACAGAGCGAGACTCCGTCTCAAAAAAAAAAAAAAAAAAAAAGAATTTCCCGCACTTAGGATCCTCATCCTTCACCCTCCTCCCAGGGTCTGGTCACCCTGGCCCGTTTTTCGCAAAAATTCTGGTAGGTTGGTCTAGACAGAATCTTCCTCATCCCAATGTTTCCTCTCAGTGATTCTTCTCACTCACTCCTGCCCTGCTCCTTGGCTATAAATTCCCACTTGCCTGTGCTGGATTCAGAATTTAGCCCAATCCTTCCAGCTGCAAGACCCCATTGCAGTAGTTCCTATACTGATCTCCATAGTCCTGAGTAAAGTCTTCCTGATGTGCTTTTTAAATTTTTATTTATTTATTTATTATTGACAGAGTCTTGCTCTGTCGTACAGGCTGGAGTGCAGTGGCACAATCCGGCTCACTGCAACCTCCACTCCCAGGTTCATGCGATTCTCCTGCCTCAGCCTCCCGAGTAGCTGGGACTACAGGTGCCCACCACCACGCCTGGCTAATTTTTTGTATTTTTAGTAGAGACAGGGTTTTGCCATGTTGGCCAGGCTGGTCTTGAACTCCTGACCTCAAGTGATCCGCCTACCTGGACCTCCCAAAGTGCTGCGATTCCAGGCGTGAGCCACCGCACTTGGCCACCTGATGTACCTTAACAAATACCACTGAAACAGTTTTTTTTTCTGGCAGTGGGGTAGTCTCTCTGCATTCTATTTTTTTTTTTTTTTTTTTTGAGACAGAGTTTCGCTGTTGTTGCCCAGGCTGGCGTTGAATGGCATGATCTCGGCTCACCACAACCTCCACCTCCTGGGTTCAAGCGATTCTCCTGCTTCAGCCTCCGGAGTAGCTGAGATTGCAGGCACGCACCACCACGCCCAGCTAATTTTGTATTTTTAATAGAGGTAGGGTTTGTCCATGTTGGTCAGGTTGGTCTCGAACTCCTGACCTTGTGATCTGCTCGCCTTGGCTTCCCAAAGTGCTGGGATTACAGGAGTGAGCCACTGCACCTGGCCTCTGCCTTCATTTTTTAATTGCCAGTCATAATTTTTTCTTTCACAGAATCCATATCTTAAACTTGGAAGGAATCTGCTGCATTTCCCTAGAGAGTATTTTGTTTTGTTTTGCTAGAGACAAAAGCAGTTACTGGGGCTTATAACACAGTACCCCTAAGTATGGCACATTGGCATTCTGGTGGTTTTTTAGCTGAAGGAGGCAGGAGTGCCTCAAAAGCAAGATGGTCTCTCTATCCTCCCACCTGCCTACCTCCCCACTCCCCGACCCCACTATTTCTCTCCTAAAGCAAGCCATGAAATTGAGAAAGATTACTCTCTGACTTACTTCTTCTGAAAGTAGGTCATAGACCCTTATGTGACATGGGTCCTGCCTGATACACAGAGGAAGGGAATGCTACACAGAGACACGAAGAATCTGGACAAACGGGTTATGCTGAGTTCCCCCAAGCAAACACATTTTTCCCTGAGTCTGTCTCTGTCATTCAAGCCAGAGTGCTTTCACGCAATCCTAGTTGACTGCAATTCTCGTTGACTGCAGCCTGGACCTCCTGGGCTCAAGCTATCCTCCCACCTCAGCCTCTTTAGTAGCTAGGACTACAGGTACATGCCACTATGCCTGCTAATTAAAAAAAATTTTTTTTTTTTTGGCCAGGTGCGGTGGCTCACACCTGTAATCTCAGGCAGATCACCCGAGGTAGGGAGTTTGAGACCAACCTGACCAACATGGAGAAACCCCATCTCTACTAAAAATACAAAAATTAGGCGAGCGTGGTGGTGCATGCCTGTAGTCCCAGCTACTCAGGAAGCTGAGGCAGAGGCTTGCTTAAACCTGGGAGGCAGAGGGTGCAGTGAGCCGAGATCGCGCCACTGCACTCCAGCCTGGGCGACAGAGCGAGATTCCGTCTGAAAAAAAAAAAAACAACTCAGGGGAACACATTTATTATAAATAGGTATTTTATTTATAAAGAACATTTTGGGCTGGGCGCTGTGGCTCACGCCTGTAATCCCAGCACTTTGGGAGGCCGAGACGGGCGGATCACGAGGTCGGGAGATCGAGACCATCCTGGCTAACACGGTGAAACCCTGTCCCTACTAAAAATACAAAAAAAAAAAAAAAAAAATTAAGAGCCGGGCGTGGTGGCGGCGCCTGTGGTCCCAGCTACTCGGGAGGCTGAGGCAGGAGAATGGCGGGAACCCGGGGGGCGGAGCTTGCAGTGAGCCAAGATGGCGCCGCTCACTCCAGCCTGGGCCACAGAGCGAGACTCCGTCTCCAAAAACAAAACAAACAGAAAATTGAGCTTGATATCTAAAAGGGTAAGGATGTTTACCCAAATCATTGTATTTTCACACACTGCTGCACACATCACATGATTTGTCCCACGAGTACAGCCAACAACAGTCTGCTATTTTAGCAGGATGGAAAGGGACCTCTTCCCCGTCCCGGGAGGAGGTTTGTCGAGTGCACGCGCAATGTTGTGCGCATGCGCAGTCCGAGTCAACGGTCCTTTTTGGTCCCTGGAAATGCGCAGGCGCGTCATTCCGGCGCCGGCTTTGGCGGAGGGGCGGGGCTTGCGCCGGCGTCTCTTCTTCCAACTGCAGTTTGTGGCAGCGCCATTTTGAATGTGCGGCTGCCGCGGGTGTGAGTCGGCGGAAGACGAGTTGCCGACTCGTCTCCATAGCGGTCTCTTGATTGTCGATATTTTGTTGCCATAGGTTTATCTAGAGACGTATACATATATACAGACACGCTATATAGAAATCTAGGCCTGTATCCGGCGTCCGAGGCGAACTCCCTAAGATGATGTTAAGAGGAAACCTGAAGCAAGTGCGCATTGAGAAAAACCCGGCCCGCCTTCGCGCCCTGGAGTCCGCGGCGGGCGAGAGCGAGCCGGCGGCCGCGGCAGCCATGGCGCTCGCGCTTGCGGGGGAGCCGGCACCGCCCGCGGCCGCGCCGCCGGAGGACCACCCGGACGAGGAGCTGGGGTTCACTATCGACATCAAGAGTTTCCTCAAGCCGGGCGAGAAGACGTACACGCAGCGCTGCCGCCTCTTCGTGGGGAACCTGCCCACCGACATCACGGAGGAGGACTTCAAGAGGCTCTTCGAACGCTATGGCGAGCCCAGCGAAGTCTTCATCAACCGGGACCGTGGCTTCGGCTTCATCCGCCTGGTGAGTGTCAGGCCGCCCGCGCGAGGGAACAAAAGGGCTGCCGGGGCGGCCGCGGGGCCGTGGGCTGAGGCCCCCCTCGTCCTAGGACGCCGTCTCCGTGAGCTGTGGCAACCGTGGCGCCGCTCGGCCTCACCGATTCCCCTGGGCGGGATTGGCCGCTTCCCCTCGGGTTTCGAGTTCGCGGTCCCGGGATTTCCTGCGCTCTCGGTGGCCGCCGTTTTCCGCCGCGCGCCGGTCGTGCTTGCGGTGGCTGCGGGCCTGCTGCCCGGCGCTGGCCCGGGCACGGTGCGCTCTGCTCAGGCCGCGAGCGCTCCGGGGTTCCCCGTTGCCCGGGTACCGAAAGGGCCCGGGGGCAGGGGCGGGCGGCGTTTTGGGATGAGAATTCTTCAAGGCAAAAACTGTGCCATAATAGAAACGAAGTGAACGTCAATTTGGAACGGAAGCTTGAGTCGCACCAGACGAATCACTGGTGAGGGTCTATCCGGGAGACTTGCTTCTTAGACGGTTATTCACATCCCATCCTTGGCTTCAACGACACCTATATGCGTTTAAGGGTAGACCACTTTATTTCTAAATTAAATTTATTTATTTTAATAGAAATGGGGTCTCGCCGTGTTGACCAGGCTAGTCTCGAACTCCTGGGCACGAGCGATCCTCCTGCCTTGGACTCCCACTCTTGATTTCTCACCTCAGTGCAGCCTGCTTTTTACCTCAAACTGCTTAGGTGCCCAAACTCTGTCCTCAAGTAACACCGTTTAATCTGCGGTAATGGGACGGTGTTTAATTTTATGTGTCTAATACAGTGTTTCTCTACCAAACATCCTGGAGAGTTCCACGTTTTTATAGGGGGAGAATAGATGATACACAGTAGTACTTCATAAATTACTGATACATACCCTAGTATCAGAGTAATATAGCTTACTCTCTTGTAATCTAAATTTTGAAAAGTTTTCCAATAATTTATGCAAAAATTGTGATTCCTTTATATTTTTTAAAAATTTGAACAAGCCTGGCCAAACTCCATCTCTACTAAAAATACAAAAATTAGCTGGGCGTGGTGGTGCACGCCTGTAGTCTCAGTTACTTGGGAGGCTGAGGCAGAGGCTGCAGTGAGCTGAGATCACAAAACAAAACAAAAATAGCGAAGGTTTACGCCTTTTTTTTTTTTTTTGAGACAGGGTCTCGCGCTATCACCCTAGGTAGAGTACAGTGGCGTGATCTCAGCTCCTGGGCTCAAGCAGTTCTCCTGCCTCAGCCTCCCGAGTAGCTGGGACTACAGTCATGCACCCCCAAGCCCGCCTAATTTTTGTGATTTTTTTGTAGAGGCAGCGTTTCGCCATGTTGCCCAGATTGCTTTCGAATTCCTGGGCTCAAGAGATCCTCCCGTCTTGGCCTCCCAAAGTGCTGGAATTACAGGGTGAGCCACTGTGCCCAGCCTGGAGCTTTGACTTTAAAAATTGGGTTCTCTGTCTGGACGATACAAAATCTTAATATGTAGAGAAAATTGTAGTTACGTGGTACTGTATTTTTATTACTTTTTTTCTTTTTTAAAAAATTAATGTACTTCTAAAACCTTTAAGATACTGTTTTTTTGAGACGAAATCTTGCTCTGTCACCAGGTTGGAGTGCAGTGGCGGGATCTTGGCTCACTGCATCCTCCACCTACCGGGTTCAAGCGATTCTCCTGCCTCAGCCTCCCAGCTGGGACTACGGGCGCATGCGACCACGACCAGCTGATTTTTGTATTTTTGGTAGAGACGGGGTTTCACCCATGTTGGCCAGGATGGTCTCGCCCTCTTGACCTCGTGCTCCACCCGCCTCGGCCTACCAAAGTGCTGGGATTTCAAAGATGAGCCAGGGCACCCAGCCAAGAGACTGTATTTTTTAGGGCAAACATTTCAACATGTAAGCGGCTTCAAGAGAAGGGCAAATATTCACAACTGCTAATAATAATGAAATAGGGAAATTTCCTTAAAATTCGGGTTAAATAATCATTACATTTTGAATATTATAAATGCATTTCTTTATTTTTTGGACATTAGATAAACAGCTCGCCATTTGGTGAACATTTTTATGCAAAAGTTATCTTTTTTGGCCGGGCGCGGTGGCTCATGCCTGTAATCCCAGCACTTTGGGAGGCTGAGGCGGGCGGATCACAAAGTCAGGAGATCGAGACCATCCAGGCTAACACGGTGAAACCCCGTCTCTACTAAAAATACAAAAAAATTAGCCGGGCGTGGTTGCAGGCGCCTGTAGTTCCAGCTACTCAGGAGGCTGAGGCAGGAGAATGGTGTGAACCCGGGAGGCGGAGCTTGCAGTGAGCCGAGATCGCGCCACTCACTCTAGCCTGGGTGACAGAGCGAGACTCCGTCTCAAAAAAAAAAAAAAAAAAATTTACATATGGTAAAGGGCAAAAATTTTAAGTGTACTGGTTGGTGATTTTTTTTTTTTTCTTTTTTTTTCTTTTGAGACAGAGTGCCCAGACTGGAGTGCAGTGGCATGATCATGGCTCACTTGATCAAGCCTCGACTTCCTGGGCTCAAGTGATCCTCACACCTCAGCCCCTCAGGTTGCAGGGACCACAAGCACACACCACCACACCTGGCTAATTTTATTTGTTTTTTGTAGAGACAAGGTCTCTCTCATGTTGCCCAGGCAGGTCTCAAACTCCTGGACTTAAGTGATCCCTCCGCCTCAGCTTCCCAAAGTGTTAGGATGACAGGTGTGAGCCACCATGCCTGGCCACTCGTTTGTGAATTTTGACAAATGTATACGTCTGTTTAACTCAAACCCCTATCAAAATATACATGTTATCACCCCATAAAATGTCTTCATATTTTTTCCTATTCTCTCTTTCTTTTTTTTTTTTGAGACGGAGTCTTGCTCTGTCACCCAGGCTGGAGTGCAATTGTGCGATCTCGGCTCACTGCAAGCTCCGCCTCATGGGTTTACGCCATTCTCCTGCCTCAGCCTCCCCAGCGGCTGGGACTACAGGCGCACACCGCCACGCCCGGCTAATTTTTTTGTATTTTTAGTAGAAACGGGGTTTCACCATGTTAGCCAGGATGGTCTCGATCTCCTGACCTCGTGATCCGTCTGCCTCGGCCTCCCAAAGTGCTGGGATTACAGGCGTGAGCCACTGCGCTTGGCCCTATTCTTACTTTCAAGACTGTTTCTAAAGTCTACTTCTCAAGAGTTGTTGGATTATATGATGTATTAGGTAAGAAAGTGCCCATCTCTTTTTAGGTGTTTACTAACCGCTACTACTATTACTAGTGAGTTAAAAGCAATAAACAAAACGACTGTTTAGAATGCAGTCATCCCTCAGTATCTGGGGGGAATTGATTCTAGGACCTCCTCCAGTACTAAAATTCGTAGATGCTTAAATCCTTATACTGTGTAAAAATGGCATTGTTTTTCCATATTACCCATGCAATCCTCCTGTATACTTTAAATCATCTCTAGATTACTTATAATACCTAGTACAATGTAAATGCTATATGAATAGCTGTTATACTGTATTATTTGGTTTATTTAGTTATCTATTTGAGATGGATTCTCGCTCTATTGCCCAGGCCTGAGTGTAGTGGCGCTGTCTCAGCTCACTGCATTCTCTGCCTCACGGGTTCAAGCGATTCTGCCTCAGCCTCCGGAGTAGCTGGGACTACAGCCACATGCCACATGCCTGGCTAATTTTTTTTTTTTTTTTTTGTATTTTTAGTAGAGACGGTGTTTCACCATGCTGGCTAGGCTGGTCTCGAACTCCTGACCTCGTGATCTGCCCACCTCGGCCTCCTAAAGTGCTGGGACTGCAGGCATGAGCCACTGCACCCAGCCTATTTTATTTTATTTTATTTGAATTTTATTTTTTATTTTAAAGGAATCAAGACGAGGTCTTGCTGTTTTACCTAGGCTGGTCTTAAACTCCTGGCCTCAAGGATTCTTCCTGTTTTGGCTTAAAGTGCTGGGATTACAGGTGTGAGCCCTCTTACCCTGCCTGTCTGTATTATTTTAAATTGTTTCTTTCCCGAATGTTTTCTTTTCTTTTTTCTTTTTTTGACACCGAGTCTCTCCCTGTCACCCAGGCTGGAGTGCAGTGGTGTGATCTCGGCTCACTGCAACCTCTTGCCTTCTGGGTTCAAGAGATTCTCCCACCTCAGCCCCCCAAGTAGCTGGGACTACAGGTGCTTACTACCATGCCCTGGCTAATTTTCGTATTTTTTGATAGAGACTGGGTTTTGCTATGTTGGCCAGGAGGCAGGTCTTGAACTCCTGACCTCAAGTGATCTGCCTGCCTCAGCCTTCCAAAGTGCTGGGATGACAGGTGTGAGCCATTGGGCCTGGTCCTAAATATTTTTGATCTACTTCTCTTGAATCCATGGATACAGAGGGATGAGTATGTCTCTAAAAAGGGTAACTTCATTTGTTTTTGGAAAAATAATTCTATAGGTAGATTTTTGCAATAAAGGGCAATAATTTCAAGCTGTCATGAACATTTTGGGGATTGAATAAAGAGCTCTTGTGACCTTAAGACATTTTTCATAAGATAGTATGTTTGTATTCTTCTTACATATACATGTAAAGCCTCTTCAGTTGTCCCTGGAGAGTTCCCATAACACAGTGAAAAAGACGTACCGCTATTACATTTACCAGTTCCTTATTTATTGTTTTAGGTGCTGCCCATATTCTACACCAACTTTGAATTCTCCAAGTAGAAGGAAGTTCTCTTACCTTTTAGTTTCAGCAGTGAGCATATTTTTTAGTTTATAATAAGTGCATATGTACACTTGCTTCTCTATATAATGGCGAGAACTGTTATAGCTCGTGAATGTTGCCTTTGTTTCTCTTCATGTGATGGTGAGAAATGTGTAACCCATGCCAGTATTTCAGGAGAAGTCATTAATAAGACATTGGCTAGAGCAAGGGGGCTCACACCTGTAATCTCACACTTTGGGAGGCTATGGCGAGAGGACTGCTTGAGGCCAGGAGTTCAAGAGACCAGCATAGGCAATATAGTGAGACCCCCCATCTCTACAAAAATTAAAAAATTAGCCAGACTTGGTGGCATACATTCGTAATCCCAGCTAGTCGGGAGGGTGAGGCAGGAGGATCCCTTGAGCCCCAGAGTTTGAGGCTGCAGTAAGCTATGATTGTGCCACTGTACTCCAGGCTGGGCAATAGAGTAAGACCCTGTCTCAGGACACCTCCCTCCCCTGGAAAAAAAAAACCCAAGAACTAATAGTTTTTACTTATAATATTGAAAAGAAATGAAAATAAAAAGAAAAGGTGATTTGTCTGGCTGTACAGAGGCGGAATGTTTTTTGTTTTTTTTTTTTTTTTTTTTTGAGATGGAGTCTCGCTCTGTCACCCGGGGAAATGTTTTATTAAGACATAAAAAACAGGCCGAGTGCGGTGGCTCATGCCTGTAATCCCAACACTTTGGGAAGCTGAGGTGGGCGAATCTCGAGGTCAGGAGTTTGAGACCAGCCTGGCCAACATGGTGAAACCCCGTCTCTGCTGGGGTTTCAATACAAAATACAAAAAATTAGCTGGGCGTGCTGGCGTTCGCCTGTAGTCCCAGCTACTCAGGAAGCTGAGGCAGGAGAATCTCTTGAACCCGGGAGGCAGAGGTTACAGTGAGCCGAGATTACACCATTGTGCTCTAGCCCGGGAGACGGTGCCAGATTCTGTCTCAAAAAAAAAAAAAAAAGAAAAGAGATGAAAAACATAAGGGTATGGAGAGAATTATTCCTTTGATGATAGTTTCTAGCCAAGTTATTGTTATTTTTTATTTTTATTTTTCCTGAGACAGAGTCTTGCTCTGTTGATCAGGCTGGAGTGCAGTGGCGCCATCTCGGCTCACTGCAACTTCTGCCTCCTAGATTCAAGAGATCTCTTACCTCAGCCTCCCAGGTAGTTGGGATTAAGGCGCCGCCACCACGCCCAGGTAATTTTTGTATTTTTAGTAGAGATGGGATTTCACCATGTCGGCCAGGCTGGTCTCAAACTCCTGACCTCAGGTGAGCCGCCCGCTTCAGCCTCTGAAAGTGCTGGGATTACAGGGGTTAGCCACTGTGCCCAGCCTCTAGTCAAGTTATTAGTATGTTTTTAATATATGTAGGAGATTTTGAAACTCCATTGCTTTGAATATTTAATAGTTGGTAACTAGCTTTATGAGGAGCTAATCTTTAAATGATTACTTTTAACAAAACAACGGAGTTCGGACCTTTTAATTAAAATGTTTAAAATGATGATTGAATAGTTAAAAACCCTGTGATACCAAAGTTAAAAGATAAAAAATCAAATCGACCCTGTCAGCCATTTGCTAAAGCTACCTCGTTCTCCCTAGAAGCCAAAGAGTGTTTTAAATTTTTTCTGTTACTGTCATCTTCTAACAATGTTTTTTCTTCCTAAAAAGGAATCCAGAACACTGGCTGAAATTGCAAAAGCAGAGCTGGATGGCACTATTTTGAAGAGCAGACCTCTACGAATTCGCTTTGCTACGCATGGAGCTGCCTTAACTGTCAAGAACCTTTCTCCAGTTGTTTCCAATGAGCTGCTAGAGCAAGCATTTTCTCAGTTTGGTCCTGTAGAGAAAGCTGTTGTGGTTGTGGATGATCGCGGTAGAGCCACGGGAAAAGGTTTTGTAGAATTTGCAGCAAAACCTCCTGCACGAAAGGCTCTGGAAAGATGTGGTGATGGGGCATTCTTGCTAACAACGTAAGTTTTAAATATCTTGTCCTTCTTCTATCCAGTTACATATGGGCTTCTCTTTGTTCTGGAATTCTGTCTTTCCTTGCAGTTGATACTAGCATATGGTAAGTAGGTGTTGAGTAAATATTCAGTGAATACAAATAAGAAATTTTTGTGTACTTGTAGGAGTGAAGAGTCATGTACTTTCTTCAAACTTCAGAGTTTAAATCTCAGCAGTGTTTTGTATTATGATTTCATTTAACTTACTGAACATATATATACAAAGTAAAATCTGTGAAGTTAAGATAATCCTTTCAGAAACTGTTATCAGCTTTATTGACATCTAATTTACCTTCATAAAAAGCACCTCAGGGGTGCGGTGGCTCAAGCCCCAGACTTTCAGCGGGTAGATCACCTCAGGTCAGGAGTTCATGACCAGCCTGGCCAACATGGCACGAAACCCCGACTCTACTAAAAATAAAAAATTAGCTGGGCGTGGTGATGTGCGCCTGTAGTCCCAGCTACTGGGGAGGCTGAGGCTCGAGAATCACTTGACTCTGGGAGTCGGAGGTTGCAGTGAGCCGAGATGGTGCCACTGCACTCCTGCCTGGGTGACAGACTGTCTCAAAAAAAAAAAAACAAAAACAAAACAAAACAAAAAAAACCCTCATCTCTACTAAAAATACAAAAATTAATTGGGCGTGGTGACACATCCCTGTAATCCCACCTACTCAGGAGGCTGAGGCACGAGAATTGCTTGAACCTTGGAGGCAGAGGTTGCAGTGATCCCAGATCGTGCCACTGCACTCCAGCCTGGGTGACTGAGTGACCTTGTCTCAAAAAAAATAGTACCTTGGGCCAGGCTCGGTGGCTCACGCCTGTAATCCTAGCATTCTGGGAGGCCGAGGCAGGTGGATTGCCTGAGCTCAGGAGTTTGAGACCAGCCTGGGCAAATGGCGAAACCCTGTCTCTATTAAAAATATGAAAAATTAGCTGGGCTTGGTGGTGTGTGCCTGTAAGCACAGCTACTTGGGAGGGTGAGTCACCAGAATTGGTTGGACCTGGGGGACGGAGGTTGCAGTGAGTTCAGATTGTGTCATTGCACTCCAGACTGGGCGACAGAGCAAGACTCTGCCTAAAAAAAACAAAAACAACAACAACATAAAAACATCTTGGGGGCTGCGTGGTGGAGTGCACAGTAGTCTCAGCTATTTGCCCTGTTGTCTCAGCTATGCAGGAGGCTGAGATGGGAGGATCACTTGAGCCTAGGAGGTCAAGGTTGCAATGAGACCCTGTCTGTATTTAAAAAGAAAATTAAAAAAATAATAGTAATAAAATAATTAAAAAAAAAATTCTGTTGTAGAGCTCAATGAAGTGGTTTTTTTTTTTGGTTTTTTTTTTTTTGTTTGTTTGTTTTGGGAGATGAGTCTTACTCTGTTGCCTAGGCTGGAGTGCAGTGGCAATCTCGACGAACTGTAACCTCTCCCTCCCACGTTCAAGCAATTCTCCTTCCTCAGCCTCCCGAGTAGCTGGGATTCCAGGCGTAAGCCACTGTGTCTGACTAATTTTTATATTTTTAGTAGAGACGGGGTTTCACCATGTTGGGCAGGCTGGTCTGGAACTCCTGACCTCAGGTGATCCGCCCACCTCGGCCTCCCAAAGTGCTGGGATTACATACATGAGCCACCATGACTGTCCTGTATTTTTGTAGAGACTGGATTTCACCATGTTGGCCAGGCTGGTCTGGAACTCCTGACCTTAAGTACCTGCCTGGGCCTCCCCAAGTGCTGGGATTACAGGCATGAGCCACTTCGCCCGGCTGAGCTCAATGAGTTTTAACAAACATATGTACTCATGTAACGCACTGCCATAATAAAAATACAGAACACTTCCATTACCCCACAGAAGTTCTCTGTGCCTTTTTACAGTTATTTTGTACTCTACCTGCCTTAGATAGCTATTTCTGTTACTATAAATACGTTTTGTGTTTTCTAATATTAAGTGAAATCATATAGTATGTATTCTTCTGTGTCTGGCTTCTCTTGCTTAGCATGTGTTTATGAGATTTCATTCATATCTTCGTGTGTATAGTATTTTGTTCCTTTTTATGGCTGAGTCGTATTCCATGGTATGGACATAACTGTGTTTTGTCCGTGATATATGGATGGATATTTGAGTTGCTTACAACTACTGGCCATTGTGAATAAAGCTACTATGAGTATTTGTTTACAAGGCTTCTTGTAAATATTAGGCTTTCATGTGACTTAGGTAAATATTTAGGGGTAAATTCTGTATGTTTAACTTTATAAGAAACTGCCAAGCTCTTTTCCATAGTGGTGTACCATTTTACATTCCTACCAGCAATGAGTGAGTTACTTCTAGTTGCTCCACATTTTACCCACACTTGGTGTTTTTATTTTTTATTTTTATTTTATTTTTTTATTGTTATTTTTTGAGACGGAGTTTTCGCTCTTGTTGCCCAGGCTGGAGTGCAATGGCGCCATCTCAGCTCACTGCAACCTCCGCCTCCTGGGTTCAAGCAATTCTCCTGCCTCAGCCTCCCAAATAGCTGGGATTACAGGCATGTGCCACCATGCCTGGCTAATTTTGTATTTTTAGTAAGACGGGGTTTCTACATGTTCGTCAGGGTGGTCTTGAACTCTGGACTTCAGTTTGGCCTCCCAAAGTGCTGGGATTACAGGCGTGAGCCACCACGCCTGGCCTTATTATTATTATTATTTTGAGACGAAGTCTTGCTCTGTCATCCAGGCTGGAGTGCAGTGGAGCGATCTCGGCTCACTGCAGCCTCTGCCTTCCGGGTTCAGGTTATTCTTCTGCCTCAACCTCCCGAGTAGCTAGGACTATAGGCGCGTGCTACCACGCCCGGCTAATTTTTGTAATTTTAGTAGAGATGAGGTTTCACCAAGTTGGCCAGGATGGTCTCCATCTCTTGAGCTCTTGATCCGCCCATCTTGGCCTCCCAGAGTGCTGGGATTACAGGTCTGAGGCAGTGTGCCTGGCCTATTTTTAATTTTTTAATTTTTTTTAATTTTAGTTTTTTTAGTTTTTTTTTTTTTTTGAGATGGAGCCTCACTGTTGCGCAGGCTGGAGTGTAGTGACGTGACCTCGGCTCACTGCAACCTCTGCCTCCAGGTTCAAGCAGTTCTCTGCCTCAGCCTCCCGAGTAGCTGGGATCACAGGTGCCTGCCACCACGCCCAGCTAATTTTTGTATTTTTAGTAGAGACAGGGTTTCACCATCTCGGTCAGGCTGGTCTTGAACTCCTGACCTCCTGATCCACCCGCTTGGCCTCCCAGAGTGCTTGGATTACAGGCATGAGCCACTGTGCCCAGCCTGTCTTTAATATTTTGTTAATTTGTTTGTTGAGACAGAGTCTCCATGTGTCGCCCAGGCTAGAGTGCAGTGATTCCATCTCGGCTCACTATAATCTCTGCCTCCTGAGTTCAAGTGATAATTGTGCCTCAGCCTCCTGAGTAGCTGGGACTACAGGCGTGCACCACTATGCCTGGCTAAGTTTTTTTTTTTTTTTTTTTTTTTGCAGTAGAGATGGGGTTTTGCCGTGTTGGCTAGACTGGTCAGGAACTCCTGGCCTCAAGTGATCCACCTGCTTCAGTCTCCCTGAGTGCTGGGGTTACAGGTGTGAGCCACTGTGCCCAGTTGCACTTGGTGCTTTTTAGACTTAGATATTCTAGTTAGTTTAGCGCAATCTCATCATGATTTAAATTTTAGTTTCCTCATGACTAATGATGAGCATCTTTTCATGTGCTTTTTGGCCAATTATATATCTTTCCTGAAATACCTAAAATATTTTTGTCCATTTTTTTTAGATGTCCCCCTTGTTCTTTTTTTTTTTCTGAGACAGAGTCTCGCTCTGTCGCCCAGGCTGGAGTGCAGTGGCACGATCTCGGCTCACTGCAAGGTCTGCCTCCCGGGTTCACGCCATTCTCCTGCCTAATCCTCCCGAATAGCTGGGACTACAGACACCAGTCACCATGTCTGGCTAATTTTTTTTGTATTTTTAGTAGAGACGGGGTTTCACCGTGTTAGCCAGGATGGTCTTGATCTCCTGACCTTTTGATCCGCCCACCTCAGCCTCCCAAAGTGCTGGGATTACAGGTGTGAGCCACCGCACCCGGCCCCTCTTTGTTCATTTTTAATTGGGCAGATTGTCTTCTTACTGAATTATCAAATCTAGGTATGTCTGTATTATAAATCTTCCTCCCAGTCTGTGGCTTGTTTTTAAATTTTCTTTTCTTTTTATTTATTTATTTATTTATTTTTTGGGGACACGGTCTCGCTCTGTCACTCAGGCTGAAGTGCAGTGGAGTGATCTCGGCTTACTGCAGCCTTGACCTCCTGGGCTCAAATGATTCTCCTTCCTTAGCCTGCTGAGTAGCTAGTACTGCAGGCATGCGCCACCACGCCTGGCTAATTTTTTGATTTTTTTTTTTTAAAGTAGATACACGAGGTCTTGCTGTGTTGCCCAGACTGGTCCCTAACTCCTGAGCTTAAACTATCCTCCTGTCTTAGCCTCCCAAAGTGCTGGAATTACAGGTGTGAGCCATTGCATCTGTGAAATGTTTTAACTTTAACAGTGACCCTCAAAGAGCAGATGTTTTTATATTTTGTGAAGTCCAAATTTTGTCAATTTTTTTTTCTTGTATGGTTTGTTCTGTGTCCTTGTATGATCTTTGCCTAAGATTGCAAAACTTTTCTTATGTTTTCTTGAGAAATTTTATAGCTTTTACATTTATACATTTTGAGTGTAACGTAAAAATCCTTTTTATTGTGCAGCTTTCCAGTTGTTCGGCACCATTAATTGAAAAGATTTATGATTTCCCCTTTGTTACCCTGTTACCCTTGCATCTTTATTAAAAAAACCTGGGAAAAAAATCTGTACTTTTTTTGTTTCATTGACCAGTTTGTCAGTTCCAAAATCGTACTTGCTTAATTACCATATTTACCCTAAGCTTTGAAATCAGGTTATAATCATCCAATTTTATTTTT